TAGCAGAAAAATTACCAAATGAATTGTTTAAATACATGCATTTCTTTTTTTTAATAGCCAGAAATATTATTTGGTACCAATGTTTACTCTCTTATGCGTGACTTCATCTTATGGGTAATAAGAAATACATATTTAGATACGCTACAAATTTATTTAGTGACTCGGGATTTTAGTGTAATAAGTTATTTTTGGAAATCTTTGTCCTGTATAGTCAAAAACTGGTGTTCTCGCTCTCATATAAGGATATATTCTTTTGCGGTATATTTTATAAATATAATTTTAATCTTGGAGAAAATAATTGTTTAAACTTAATTTATTATGGTATAAGAAGATATAAAATAATACCAACCTTCCCAGCAATGTAATATATTCTCCAAAATAGATAAATGAAAAAACAAATACTTTCATTTCTTACATCGTCCATCGACTTCCAAAGACATCTTTGTCTTTTAACTATCATTAATAACCTCACATCTGGTGTGGTTTCCCAGAGATGTTTGGGGATACTAAAGGAGGGATAAATGCAAATTTCAGCACGAATTTTAATTTTAATAACATTATGAAGCAAAATTATATATGTCCTCTTTATGAGTCCCATATGCATAAGAATTTCAATTAACTTTATTATTTTTGGTACCTAATGAATATGCACCTATTACCACAATACCAGTAGTACTACCACCTAAATGATGAAGCTCCATTTGCGCCAATATTAGTATGATTCTTTACTTTTCTCTTTAATGAATTAGTACCTTTTCTCCGTTAAAATTGCTTCTTAATGCGTAATAGTTTTAGTTTCAATCAAATATCAATTAAGCTATATTTCTAAATATGATTGTTCCCAAGGCAACAGGAACACTTTTCTTACAGTCAAAATTTAACATGGCATGTATTTTGGAAGACTACTTGTCTTGGTATCGTCCTCTTTATTACTAAAATTGAGATGTTACCACAGATAAAAATTAAGAATTGAGCAAACGTGGTTAAATAGATGGTATACATCATGATCAGCTGTTGTAGAGCCTATCTGACTTAACAAATAAAAAAAAAATATTAAAAACTGTGCAATATAGTTTTTTTAATAAAATAACCTAGAAAACAATGCTGATGATATCTTTAAAATGTGTGAAAAAATAAAGAATCATCGGTAGTTTATTTCATGCCCGGATACTTCTTTAGCCTCAAATTATTTAACGTGTCTCAGCTAAAAATCATAAATTTAAGCCTAGGATATGAAATCTTGCAAACACCTGTCGATGTTACACTTATGATTTCAAATATAATAGATATGAATTCTTTAGTAAATTTTAAGAGCACGAAAAATTTTATAGCATTAAAATTTGTGCATTTTTAATTTTGTTATTGATTGCATGACATTTCACGTTTGTGTACATGTTATTGTCTATTTATAAGAGTTGCTTTGAAAGAAAAATTTATATAAACATTTTATTAAAAACCACTACCATTTTTTTCTTTAAACGCTACTTAGATTTTTATCAATAAATAGCTTTTCTTTAATTCTGCGTAATTTAAATATATAGATTTGATTTCCAAATTTTGGGGAAAAAGTGGAATGATGAATGCCTTGAACTTCCTCGATTACTAAAGGGTTCCCTTTTCGTGTCTGGGGAGACACTGCGTCGTGGGTGGCCTCATTGGAATATCGATTGAATCTGTGCCTTTGATATTCCCACACAATCAAAGCATCTTTGATGTTAAGCACGCGACATCATAGAATATCGTTTCATTTGATGTGTCATAGGTCAATGTATGATTCTGAAAGGGCAGATGCGGTTAAGTACATGCCTCAGTCTATCATAGATCGCATTATTGCACTAATATGGAGAGTAAAATATATTTCATCATCTAAAGTTAATGTTATTATTTTTTGAATGTTCGATAATCATTACTTATAGGCATACTCAGAACTATCGTTCTTTGCCTGGGATGACACTGGAAGTGCTGCTTATTTAACGTTATCCGGTGGGCACTCGTGACCTAAGTCACGGGGGTGAGCAGCAATACCCACGTCATACTGACACATATACCCATTCATAGGGTGGGCCACATTAACACATCACAGAACAACACACATATACAGTATATTTTGTCAACAGTGTCCTGAGTAGGATTCGAACCCGCTACCATTGGCTTTGAAGAAGGGCACACTGACTGCTCATCCATCATTTGACCATCAATTTTTATTGCAGACTATGATGATCTTATAAAAATAAATTCAACTTCGTTTATACATTTATGCATTCAGCTTAACAAATTGTGCTGTAACCGATGAGAATGCTTAAACTAACGAATCTTGAAATATTTAAATTATAGGGACATGAAAATAAGCAAGTATCAATAATTTTTATTGATATCTTTTCATTTTTTTTTTCGAAAAAAAAATACCAAACCATTTTTATTTTTACCTCTAGTACATGCAGAGTTTTGCAGAGTAGTACATGCAGAGTTTCGCTAGTACATGCAGATATTGATGCTCTTTTTCAAGGGAATAAAAATAATACCTTTATTCAACCTACTGACTAACAAGAAAAAGGCGATAAACTCACATGAATAATATATCATTCCAATCTTACTAAGTTAGGGATATTTTAATTTAATTATTCTTTGCTTTAAATTCTCTGAATTTTCTATTTTTTTCTACACAATATTTTTTTATTTATTTCAAACAATTTTTTGAACCATGCAGTGGAATTTAATTCAACTTTTTTAACTATATTGCCAGCTAGTGCAATTTTTATTTTCCTGTTTGAAAATTTTTATCAACAAGAATTAATTTCTGTCCGATAAAAAAAGAGCGAAGAAAACGTGAAATTCTCATGGTAACTAAAATATTTTTAAACTTTTTTTAAAGCATTTCATGCCCAAAATTCATTTTGATAAGAAATTTCAAAAATGTCGGTTATAAAAGGAAAAAAAAATATTTTAAAAATGAAATATTTAATTTCTTGCTCATAATAAAGGGATGGGTAAGGTAATTTCAGCTCTGGTAAACGCAAAAAGTCAAATTTCATGAACAATACAATCTTTTACAGTTTTTTTTTTCTATTATCTGTGTCACATAATTAATACTTTGCTAATTAAATACGTCGCGTTCAGTTGGGTAGTGTAGAAAGGAAAATATTTTAATTTGTGTTTTTCAGTCTTATTTATAACGAGTTAAAGTATATCAATAAACTGATTACTTACACTTTTATTCATCGATCAAATTTTTTAATTAAAATTCCAAAGGTTCATATCTATTTAATATTTTTTTAAGATTTCAAAAGTAATAGCATTAAAATTAAGTTTTTTTTATATAAAACCGGATTTAACATATTTACTTAGTTTTTTGCCTTAAGTCATATTCCTAACAATTTAAAATATTCCAATAAACTGCTAACTTACACTTTTATTTATCAATGATTTTTTTTTTCATGAAAATTCTAAAGATTCATATCTATTTAGAAAGAGAACCGGTTAGCTCTGCTTATTTTCGAATTCTTGTGAGTGTTTATGGTGAATAACAGGGATGGCCAACCAGCGGCTCGCGAGCCACATGCGGCTCTTTGAAGGATTATTCGGGGCTCTCGATAAATGTACCCGAGTTCACTTTTCATTTTTGTTCTATTATATTTTAATATTTTTCTGAACCCATTTGAAATTCAAGCTGAGTTTTTCCATTTCCAATATAATTATGACCCAAAACGCATCTGAAGAATTAGAATTAATAGAGATGCAAGACGATCAAACTCTACTATTAAAATATAAGTCGAGGTCGATTACTGAATTTTGGAAATTCGTACAAGAATCGAAGTATCCTGAATTAAAAAAGGCTGCTTGTCTAATTATTTCAATATTCGTAATAACGTACTTATGTGAATCATTTTATTCCACTTTAAGATTCGTGAAATCTAAACACTAATCAGTATTAACTAATCAGCATCTCAAGGAATTACTAAGAAGTGCTGTCACCAATTATTCACCAAATTTTAAAGTATTGTCAAGAGAAATAAAACAAATAAGTTTAATTTTTAATATTTAAATTCAATGCTCACATTTTGTACTTTTATTTTTTATTTATATACTTTCAATAAGCGTAATTTGTGTAAAAAAATATTTAGTACCTTTTTTACATACCTTTTAAATACGTATTTAATGGCTGCTCGCGAAATATTTCAAATTTTGAAAAATCGCTCGACTATCAAAGAGCTTGGCCACCCCTGGTGTATAGCATAATTTACCTCCAGGTGTCACCACCATTGTAAATTTGAAATTATATCACAATAGTGATATTTATTAGAAATTTGAATTATGCTTTTAAACTGGGATTTTTGGGTTGAATTATGTGTATTTAAGTTTATTTATATTTAATTAGTATTGTATTATCAATTTTATAATGTAATATGTAGTTTGTGAATGTTTTTCTCTTTGAACTTTTTTTTTTGTTCTGACGTCCACTGGTTGCGAGGCGGATCATGAGTTAGAAAACCGGTCAGTCTAGATTCTTTCGCCTTGTTGAGAGGAGAATAAAAAGGGTTGAGAAGAGTGACAAGGGAAAGAAGAAAAAAAAGAAGGAAGGATGAACTAAGACGATACCACTGAGTGAATGATTTTATTTTATTTTATTTTATTTTATAACCGTCGTTGAACAGCCGACCCAATTTCATGGGTTTACGACTACTAATGTTCAACTCCGTAGCCTTGTAATTTTGAACCAATCCAGAAGACAAGGAAACTCCTGGATCAGTACCCCCAGAGGTATTGATTTGTTATGGGAACATGGAGGACTTTGAGACTCGACAGATTTAACGTGCATCAGTCATCATTTACTACACGGGGAGTCTTCGGCCGACGAGGATCGAACCCACGACCTCTTGGACATGGGCCAAGCACCCTACCGACCAGGCTATCCCGGCCTTGAGTGAATGATTAATTAAAACCGGGGTCGCTGAGTAAGATGGTCAAAGATGAATTGATGTTTAAAATGTATAGGTTAATGTATAAACACCGGAGTCGCTGAATGAGTGGACTAGGTAGGCGCCCCTGAGTGGATGAGCGTGGGTCTTGAGAAAAGTTAAACCGAAGCCTCTAAGTTGATGACGGAAAATGATGAGCTGAGTGCCGCTGTGATTGAGTCTGTTGGGCTATCCCGAGGGTACCAATGCTGAAAGTCGGTGGTCCCACTTGTGCAAGTTGCCTTACTAGAAGGAAGACTGTTGAAGTTTGAGGGATTGGAAATTGGAATGCTGTCTATCAGAAACTAAGAGTTTGCCTGTTCCTCGAGTCTTGTTGCAATACCGGTGGGCGTTCCAGGAATTTGGTCCGTAATTTCATTTTGTATTTATAAACTCTAAGTTCTATTTTAGTACAGTTTTAATAAGAATAATTTACCCTGAATTTTAATTTTTTCTACTATATTGTTAGATATATATTTTAAGATGAGCCATTGATATTTAATATCGTGTTTACCGGATTCGGAGAATATTAGGAACTATAATTTTAATTGATTTTAGTAGATTGTAAGATAAGTGGGCATTTTGTTCTTAATTGTTTTTCTGGATTTGGAGTAATAGAATGTTGTGCCTTAGATTTTGTAATGCATTTTATTGAAAAGTTATATTTGTGTTGATGAATTTTAAACTTGAAATAGTGTATAATTTGGAAATATATGTTTACGTGTTAGCATTTGGAAATGGTTGAAGTTGTGTTTGTTTAAAAATTAGAGTTGTAATAAAATTGGTTTTAAATGTTAAGTGTTTCCAGTGATTTCTTTGCTAATTTTCTTTGTTGAAAGTTAATTTAATGATCACCACATAATCAAAGTTTGAAAGGTAACAATACAAAAGTTTATAGTATTTCAAAAGTAATAACATTAAAATTATTGTTTTTTCAACCAGATTTAATATTTTTCAATTTTTAATACAAAATCTGGTAATATCTGGTAATAATATTAAAATATCTGGTTTCATATGAAATCAGATCTAATTATTTTAATATTTTAATATAATTAATAAAGATCTATAAAAGTATACTTTCCTAAATTATCTAATATAATTTGAAATGAATGAATTTTTAAAATTATTTTTTAATCACTTTAAAGAAAAAGATATCAACTTTGAACTGATGGTTAATCTATCATACCTGTAAATTAAATAAGAACATTTAAAACATCAAAATTATAAAGGGAAAAAAAAGAAAAAAACATTCAAGAGAATTTTTTTCTTCATATTATTTGTAAAAACAAACTTTCAACTGCGCTAAATTGGAAATAATCTTATTAAAACTTCAGCCAATCTGCATGTAAATTCAATTTTAAAACAAAACTAAGAAAAAAGAAAACTATAACTTCTTTTTTATCGAAGTGTTAGGTTGAAAATCGCTTGCGTGAAAATCGTTAAAGCATTCTTTCTTCCGAAAAGCTCTTAAGTTTCCTTTTATACCCATGTATAAATTTGAAAAATTTAATTCTTTTTTTTTCATGAGTAAAAAATGTATACATTATCCTTTATTCAACTCAGTGATTTACAGGAGAAATACGATGAATTCTGATGAATTATGCATCATTCTAATCCTAATGGGGGAGGGGGTGTCTTAAGTGAATTATCCTTTTCATCGGTATATTGATTGAATTTTCAACTTTTTTTAACGTATATTTTTTACTTTGAGCAATTTTTAGCCTTACAGTGGAATTTAATTCATGGTCTTATTTAATTATGTTTGAAGCAAATACAATTTTTCTTTTCTTGGTTTATATTTTTTTTATCCGTTCGAAATGCATTTTTATCCGATGAAAGAGAACGACGAAAACGTAAAACTCTTATGGTAACTAAAGTACTCTTGAACTTTTTATCCAATGTTTCATGCCAAGAAATCTTCCAGAATAAAATGTTTATTAAAAAAAATATTTTATATAAAGTAAAAATGGTTTTAGAATGATTAAATATAAAGAACTTTTTAGGCTGTAATAAAAGCGATGTAAGACGTTTTTATTTAAGATCATTCTGCAAGTATCGAATTTCAGTTGCATTACCGCCCACACAAAGATTTTTTATTATTACTTATAATATAATTACCATTTTGTTAATGTCATATGTCACACTTAGATAGGTAAATAAAAAAAAGAGATCTTGTTCCTAACCAGTTAAAAAAAATTTTAACTAATTACTTGTCTCCAAATTTAATTGGAAAAATCGATATCAAATTTAGTCATGAAAAACTATGAATTATGTGTAAAAAACCCTAAAAGCTTTGATCAGTAAAAAAATTAATATTTTCAAAATGCTTTGATTCAAAAATGTAAGAAGATTCAATGGTTTAAATAATTCCCGAAAATGATTTAAATAACATAAATAACGTTTCCCTATTAAAATAGGCTTATATTGAGCACAAAAGTTAGCAAAAATGAATGGCTTTAAATTTTTATAATTTCGAAATTATTACACATACTACGAAACAGAAAATACTGCTTATTAAAAAAATTTATACCAATTTTTTCTATTTGTTAGTGTTCAATATTTGAGCTTCTATTGCACGATTTTCAAGTTGTTGTAGTGTATTTTAAGCATCTTTGGTTCATAAGCTATATATTTTGAGTAATCTCCTAAAACTGAAACCACATAATGTAAGGTGCGGCGAATAAAGGAAATTCACAAATTTATTTCCCCGTTTACAGGGAATTAATTCAATTCTTTTATATTTGCCAGAGTCACCAATTAGGTCGGATACTTTCGGTCCGTTCACTCCCTTTTACGTTCAGCTGCTGACATAACCAATAGTAGATTCATGTGAACTAACAGAGACCCCTAACTCAGTTCCAAAAGCAAATTGACTATCGTCAGCTGTGAACTACAGGAAAAGTGATAAACTTGTAAGAGAGTCACACTATTACAGCAAAATAACTTGGGTCCTCATTGCGCCAATATTAATGAAATTTATAATAATAAAGGAAAATGAAAATAAAACCACTATTTGAGTGTTTTTAAATCTAAATAAGGTTTAATTTTAAAAGTATAAATTCTAAGTAGATGAGAAAAATTTAATGGAATTTGAAAAATATGAGTATCTTTATAATAGAGTGAGAGAAATTATTAATTTATTTAAAAAACAGAATTTTTCGTGATTTTTTTCTTAGCTAAAAATTATTAAAAATTTTAAGCAATTTCAGTTTTGGATTTTAAGAGCCTGATCAGTGCAGTATTTAAATTGAATTTAAATTATTTTATTTCATAACCGTCGTTAAACAGCCGACCCAATTTTGATTTTACAACTGCCTATGTTCAACTCCGTAGCCATGTAATTTTGAACCCAATCCAGAAGACAAGGGAACTCTTGGATCAATGTGGGCGAAATTTGCCTTCGTGAAGAAAATTTTGTTGGACTAACCAGCATTTGTATGACATGGTGAAGAAAACCACGGAAACCTGCCACGGTTAGCCTGATGGCAAAGAAACTCTTACCCTTGATCCATCTACCACTGATGATATTGTACGTCAGTACTGTGGTCGATGCGAGCCGAGTGCGGGATTCGTATTGACCTGCCATCTCTGGGATTCAAACCCGTTTCACCTCAGTGGTAGGCGAACTAATAGAAGTATAACACTTTTCCATTTCAGAAAACTATGACTCTTCTGCATATTTACATTTTGCGCTATTTTCATAAGCCGCTGACTATTTTTTTTAAAATTTTATTTTTTTATTTAAACGATTGGAAACTCCTCGTGCACCACAAAGTATACCATGATTCTTACAGAAGTAAGTAGAAAACAAAAACAAGAAAATTTACATTCAAAACAAAATTCCTCAAGGCAACAAGACTTTCGATACTTTTGACCAGTTCAGATAAAACAGGAGGCCAACAGGAGGCCGCTGACCATAGAATCATGAATACCTGATTTAAATTTACTATGCATATAATACAGCAACGTTTGCTAGCAAGCGAGTAATGATTCTACAATAAACATCCTTTTAATGGTGATAAGTTGCAATATAAACTTTTTTCCCTAGAGATGCATTTTTTCGAATTGTCACAGGTTGTTATGTTATTTTTTTTTTCAAAATGCAGTTTGGACGACTTAAGTTAATGTTGAAATGGTGATAATTTGAAATCTGAACATTTTTTTCTCTACTGATACATTTCTATGATACAGAAGAATATACCTGGAATGTTGATAAGCTACAATTTTATTTTTTTTCCCTCAAGATATAATTCTTGATAGTGTTTTGCCGTTAAGGTATTTCTATTATTAAATATTGCTTGGATGAATGAAATTTGATTAAAATTTGTAACCATACCGTTAAGGAACCTTCGAAGAACATACTTGAAATGCTGCTCAGTTACAATCTCAACTCTTAAGTCACTTCTTCAGCTGTATTTGAGGATAAAATGCTTGATTAAAAAAATTTCAGTTATTAAACTGAAATAAGAGTTTATATTGCGATAATTATTTTACAAAAACTATTAATAGCCAGTAAATCTTAAATGACATTTCTATGTATTTAAAATTGAATTTATTATCAAAATTAAAGTTACTAACTTTATTTAAGATACAATTATTTATGTGTTCAATGATTTTAAATTTATAATAGTTGTTTATCGCGTTTATTCATCAGAGGTATTTCGGCATCTTTTTTCATAAAAAAAAAAAAAAAAAAAACTGAAAAGTTTTTTTTTTTTGCATGGTCAAAATATCAAATATTTTAGCGTTTTCAGTTTTCGAAGAAATTCATGGTATACATGAAGCATGGGAAAGCACCGTATTTGTCAGACTGAAATGTCTTAAAATGAAGTAATTGAGATAAAATTTTATAACTATACTAACAAACACTATGTCTGAGCAATATACCAATATTTTAAAACATTATTACTCTTGGTATTAAAAAAAATGCATACGAAGGAAAGATTTAAATCCATCGCAAAAACATATATTATGAAAAAACGCATATAAAATTTAAAGAATCAACGAAAAAGTTTCTTTCAGTTATGACGAAAAGAATGCTTAAAATACTTAACATACTTGCCATAATACTTAAACACCAGTGAATGCAATTAAGTTAGTACTTATAGCTTTCTTATATAAATATTTTTTCAAGTGCCCATTAGTTGGGATATATTTAATTATCTCAGCTACAAAACTTCATTACCAATCGAGAGATGATACATAAATATTCCTTTTAACTCCTAATTGGAGCACAGGGCTTCTATCATAGCTTTCCATCTCACTCTATTTAGGGCTAGATATTATGCCTCGCTCCATGTGTTTCTTATTGTTTTCAATTCGGTTACCAACTTCCTGCCCCGTGCCAAGTATTTTTAGATATTCCTCTCTTTCTATTGCCTTATTTGGGTTCCAATCAAAATCTTGTTTTACTTTAAATTTTTGAGGTTTACCTCACTAATTCATTTCCATTCACTTTCGTTTTTTCTTTTTTTTTCTTTTTTAATTTCTAAGGATTTCTTCTAACGATGTCGGCATTCCAAATTTTATAAAATCATTTGATACGCAATATTCTTCTTAAACCTGTGTTAACAAATACTGGAAGTTTTTTAAGTTATTTTTATTGCAGTGCAATGTTTATGAGTTACATGGTAGAACAGATTTAACAATAGTATTGAAAATACTATTTTTTGTTGAATTCGTTATGTTTATATTTTTTTCCGGAATTTATTGAAGATAGCGTAACTGCTTCGGACATCGTTTATCTATTTAGTATAGTCATCATTTCCGTTTTGCTCCACTTCCCCAGTTCCATTTCGTTGTTAATTATACTTCCAAGATAAGTGAAACTACTTACCTCCTATAGTTTATTATTTTTTTAAGAATATGTAATTTCATTGTTTAGGATAATTTTTTAAAATTTTAGTTTTATTTTGGTTGTTAATAAGCCCTTTTCAATGAAGAATATTAATGGAATATACTTATATCAATAATCTTAACATAATATTATTTATATTAACAAAAGACTTCATGTTTGTTTTTAAAAAATTAAATTTGTCTTTTCAAAGTAACGAGGCTAATTTTTAAATTATATGTCAATTAAGTGTTTTATCACTTTTAAGTGCATATAAATCTGTTACAAAACGTTCTTTAATAAACCTTTCTTTGCAATTTTCTACTTACAAATGACCCTCAATATTCAATATATGGTGAATCTTTTAAAAATTCAAACAACTGATAGGGTAAAAATAAAGTTTTATTATAACATACATTAGTGAAATATTTTTGTAAAAATATTTTTTGGCAGGTATATTTCTTGATTGATGATCCGAATTAATGTGTTACATCGAAATACATATATCACCAAATAAAGGTATGAGTAACATTTATGTGAGTGGGTGTTTTGCATTTAATTCGTTCCAGTGCAGACTTCTCTCCGCTATATCACAATTCAAAATTGCGTGGTTGAGCTCCAGTTCTTCAAAACGATTGACAAAGTTTTTCCTTAAGTTATAACGTGAGTCTAAAAAATAAACAATAATATAAAATTATACCTGTATCTTAAATTTAAGCAATTTTAACAAGTTATAACAAAAATAGCCATAACTACAATTCGAATAATATATATGATACCGTGAATCTCAGAAGTCAGGAGAATGCCGATTTTCGCAGGTGAATGTCAACAATTACATAATCGCTTTGGTGAATGCCCAAAATATTAATATTTGTTATATCCTATTTGATATTAATTTATTCGTTGTATTATTATATTTATGCGATATTTTAATATCTGCTGAAGATAGATTAGGAGAAACATCAGTGTTCGGAGTATACTGGGCAAATACATACCACGAAGCGGTACTGAACCTTAAAAAAAACATCAGTGCATAGTATTCTGTCCAATTTCATGTATGTACTGAGTAACATACAATTCATGCATCATTTAAAAAGGCACTGTTATTCGATAATATAAGCAAATTTTTAATGATTGCTAATCGATGACATTGGAAGTCCAATCGTAATCAGCGTTTTAGCCAATCCAAAATGGGCAGAAAAATAACGTTTTATCAAAATGACGGAGCAATATCAAGGAGTAAGGGTGAAAATACACTCTGGCCTTGCCCACCATTATCCCCAGACCTTATAATATTCATTTTTTTTCCTACAGGTGTTCCTATGAGGATTTGATACGAATTCTACACACGACTCGCTCCGACCACACTGCTGACATAAAATATCCTCAGTGGTATACGGATTCCGATTTGAGTCCCCTTCCCGTCTGGCTAAACGTGTGAGATTTTCATGGTTTTCCTCTCCATGTATCGAAAATGAGGGTTGGTTCCATCCAAAAGTCCTCCACGAAATCAAATTTCTTCCAATACTTGATCCAGGAGTTTCCTCATCTCCCGGATTGGGTTCAAAATTACGATGCAGTGGAGTTGAATATTGGTAGTCGTAATCCCAAAATTGGACCAGCTATTCAATGAATGTTATAAGATATCGGAGTTCGTGAAGGATTGTGTGTATGAGGATTTAGGTCGAACGAACATAATTTCTTTCAAATCAGTCATGGTCATCACCACAGCATCTAATGCTGCACAAAATGTTGCACAAAATGTGCAACACGCTGCACAAAATGTTGCAGGACATTTCAGAGTGATGCATGCACAACAAAAAAGAGCCTCAAAACTTCTTTCAAAATCTGATAATATTACTTTTGCATGCAGGATCATTTTCAATGAATGCATTTATTAGATTTTGTGCAGTTCACTTCGGAAATTAGGTTATTCATTTTGATTTACTCGCCTAATTGTTTCAGTTATTTCTTTATTTATTTTATCCGGCATTCATATATTTTTTCCTATCAATTATGCCAAATCATATATTCAACCGAAATTTTGAGATTAAGTTTTCTCAATGTTTTGTGAAAGCTTTTCACAATGAGGCAAGTTTGTTCTGTAGTATCTGTACTGTAGCATGCAGAATGAAAGTTCTAAATCTCTCTATTACTTGTGACCTATACCCTGTGTTTCATACAGTTTACTTATTTAAAAACAGGGTAACAGGAAAGCCTCAAATAACAGAAATATATAACAATTAAAGAAAACAAAATTATTAAAGAAATTAAAGAAAACAACAAAAAATTTATTTTTTTAACAGCATTTAACGTAATTAAAAATTATTATTTAAAAATAATTATTAAAAAATCGCCAAAATAAAAGGGATTAAAAATTTACTATGGCAGCACTATATGTCCTACCCATTTTAATTCTAAGCGAATACTTCTTATAAAGTTGCATACAAAACCTGAATGAAGAATAAAAGAATAAAAAAGCAGGATTACTCACAATGTTAAGGTACTTTTCCCAAGTTAACATATAACTCATTCTTTCTGTATGGACTTGAAGAGTAGATATGACTCGAAGGGCAGCGTTTGATTGTCGCAAATACTTTGTCTTGTGCTGGCTGTAAAGAAATAAAAAAATGAATATAGAAGTTATAGTGTTTAATTAAAAGTTTGAGAGAATCATCTATATTTTTCTGACAAAGAAAACAAATTATTCAAATTTTAAGATTTATAACGAAAGAGAAATTCAAAAAACAATTATACTTAATTTTATTATGATAAGCTTTTTTTAAAAATTGATTTTACATTTAAATATGGAAATATGAAATTAAATTCTGGAATTGAGATGTAGTCAGGGGAATCTAAGTTCATTTTTAAGAATATGTAGGGGAGAGTCGGTAGCCCCGCCCACAGTCAATTTCATATGTATAGAATATTTTTTTCAAGTCAATGGGCCAATGGACATTAATTGTTATATTAAAAAATGATTATTTTCAAAGTTTCAAGTATTTATGCAGCTTTTAACATGGTAAACAATAGTTTTGAAAATATGTTGAATACAGTAGTCATGAAATGAAGAAAAATTGGTTGAATGTTTCGATTAAACTTCATTTTAATACTAAAAATATAATTTTTTCTATACATACAGCATTAAAGTATGTAGTCTTAAGTTTTATTTGCACGAAGAAAGAAGTTTATACGTGAAAAATTGTTCGAGTAATTACAAATTTACAAAACAATTCGATTCTGGGTAGCTCCGCTCACATGAATGTCGGGTATCACCGCCCAATTTTATTTCGTCGATAAATGTACGGTTGCAAAGATTATTATTTTATTGCTTCAAATTTGAATTTTATATGCATTTTTAACAACAAATATTGTTGTTATTAAGTGATAGAATTTACTAAAAGTATGTATATATGTATGTAATAAATAAAATAATTTTTGATAAAAATGATAAATGAGGTTTATCAATTGTCAATATATTGGTCACTTTCATTTACACCTGAAAAAACAGCCAAAAAACATAATTTTTGTAACTGGGCGGGGCTACCCGACACATTTCGAAAAGAGCTGAAAAACATGTTTTTTAAAATTTCTATTCTTTTAAGTTAAACTATTCCTTTTTGGTTTATTCTTTTTGCATTATTTAATTAGATGGTAAAACAATAGAAACATACAAAAATATTGATTATTACTCAATATTATACAGAAATATAAGCAATATTCCTTAAGTGGGAGGGGCTACCTGACTCTCCCCTACTTAGTATTTTCTTCTGACATCATTGTACTTCTATGATTGATTTTATTTTTTAATATTTAACTGTTAAGTTTTGAATAACGATGTTTACGCATAAATTTTTGAGGTGTTGGTCAAACGGTTCAAAATATACTTAAAAAATATTCTATGTAGTTTCTTCTCACACCATTTTATTTTTCAAGGACGATTTATTTTTTGAAATTGAACACCAAAAGTTTCTTTTTCCCTCTTAAAAATAAAGAATTAAACTAACTATTATGACCTTTCTGATGCCAGTTTCAGAATGAATGCTTTATGCTTTCAGAATTTAATTTCATGTCAGAATATTTTCTTTTCTGTCGTAAGTTGAAATATATTCAAGAATCTGCTATCTTAGTATTAAGAAAATAGAAAATATTCTCTGATATTCTGTGAATTTTTCGTAAAAAGTTCTACTGTCACATTTAATTATCTTGACTAAAGTTAAGGATATAGTTTAAAGTTTTAGAGTTTGCTATAAGTGTCTTATACCCTTCTAGCGTAATTGCTTAAATCAGTTTTCAATTTTTAAGGAAATGACATGCTCTACTCTTGCAATCTCTTATAGTCTTTTCAGAATAGTTTATTTTTGGACTATTTTTAGAAACTCATTTTTTATCTGCTTGACGTCCTTGGAATTTCAAAAATAATAAGTAGACTTCATCATTTATTATGAGGATAGAAATAGATTTAGACTTTACAGTTAATAATTAATTTTGAACATCTTTTCAGATTTAAGAACGGGGAATTTTTTGGTGTTATTTTATGTTATAAGAGTCAAAATATTGTTATTTTCGGACGCAGATCTGAATATTAAGTCATTTATATTTTATTAGGTACTCTCAGTCATGTCATTAATTCATTTTGTTTCATTTTAATGGTGGGTATATTCTATTAAACTACATCTGAAAAAAATTGTATTCATGTGTTTGGTTTCCCCTCGTTCAACTTCAAACTCTCAAACTATCTATTTGAAACAATATTGAACACATTTGAATATTTTAGAATGTATAATCTTTTGGTGTTATGTTAAGAAGACCGATGCACAGTTATTTAAGTACACGTACTCAAATTAAAATGTTTATGTTACTTCGTAGGTTAAGTGAGGGCTTTCTTTCTTTTTTATGGAGGATGTAGTTTGTATGAAAACTTCCTGAAAAAGTATTCAATGGTTTGGTTTGTACTCATGCGTTTAACTTTAGGTTTATAAATTTTTATATCAGTTTAATGATTTATATATTGGTTAAACATAGTTGGATGTTTAATTATATAATAGTTGATATTGTATGATTTTAAGCTACTTCATAATTGTTCAGAGAAGAGTATTGTTCAAAGTTTTTGTGTGTCATTCTTGAGGACAGCTCTGTGAAAAGTAACTATGAATGGGGTTATAGGTTTACTGATTTATATATCAGTTTAGCATCCAACGATTTTGAAATGCTATGTAAATCAATAAACTATATAAGAGCTGATATTATGTAGTCTCATGTTACATCGTAGGTTCAGTGAGGACATTCTGTTTTAAGTTTTTGCGTGGTGGATGCATTTTACAGTAAACATTAGGGAAAAGTACACATGAGATTTTGTTTTAGTTTTATTGATTTATATATCTGTTTAACATCCAACGATTTTTAACCAATATATAGTAGCATGCAGAATGAAAG